TCAGGATATTCAAAAGAAGAGCAGCATAAATTAATATCCATTAAAAAAGAATTTAAGAAAATGGATAAAATAAAATTTGATCCTTTGACAATTACTGCAACAATTCATCCAAATGCAGTTTATACTAGCAGATTATTAAAATTTACAAGCCTTCCCCAACCTGTGAATTCCAATAAAGTGACAATTATTGGTAGTAATAATTATGGTAATCATTAACATTCAATAATTGACTATTTTCATTTATTAATTTTAAATTTATAACATTTATTAATATCCACTCTTGTGATAAATATTTTTTAGATTCTCAACAGATTGATTTAGATATACTAGATGAATTTTAAATCCTATGTATTAAAATTATTTATTATTACATTGTTGAGAAATGAGACTATAGATAATTATTTATTTATATTTAATAGTGTGAGATAGTAAATCTTGGACCTATCAATTACCCGGTTAATATTGACCAATTAGAACGAATTTACTACGGAAGTCATGTGATGTGCTAAATATTACATCATGATCAATGACCATCTTTCTATATTATTGTAACGGCTATGCTGCACATTGTGCGGTGTCATATGAAAGATTATTCCTATTCATATTTCTATATTTATATTTATTAACCTACTCATCTGATGTAAATATTTATTTAGAATTAGTAATTAGTTGATAAGCATATTATTGGAGAGTAGAGTAGCACATATCACAGTATTTGTACTGCCCCAAGAGGTATAAATACACTTGGCTTTAGACCAAGTTAATAATCATGATTAATTAATTAATTGTTAATATTGTTGATAACAACAACCTTGATAACAACAAAATAATAACTCTTAATAAATATATAATCTTACATGAAATAGTCTTTGACTGTAAGTAACTAATAAACCCAGTGTGATTAACCCCCAAGCCCTTCTAATGGTTAATGGTCTGGCCAACCTTTAATTATTAGTTGGGAACCCTTTTAATTATTCATATGCATCTCAAGGGGACCTTTGGAATATAATTATTTAAATAGAACCTAGTAATGTAAGTCAGTGGGTAGGCTGTGTGTTGAACATTAAATACCCTATTAATTAGAAACTTGCATTGCATGCTTGGATTGTATATAATCCTTTTATATAATTTTTTTTACATGGATCACCAGTTGATGGTGTTAGAAATTTAGTCAATCATAATTTTGTTTGACTTTTGAAAGCAATTGGATTTGTTGTAAGATCTTGTAAGGCTGTATAAATATCATCAAAGTCATCCCACAACTGACAAATAATTATTGCCCTGTTTTCAGGTAAAACACTTTTCAAATTATAATTTTTTGGAACTTTTAATTTATCTCCACCCATAAGACTGGTATAATTCCAACTCCTTGAATCTGGACTTTGCCAGATACAAAATGTACACCAATTCTAATCATTTCTTTTTTTTATTTGTTCCCTTATTTGATGAGAACTTTGGTATTTGTTTCAGATAACATTAGACTCCAAAATTGGACAGTAATATGAAGCGTTAAATGTAATTCATCTGGAACCCAATTATAGATGCTGGTTGCAATTCTTGGTGATGGGTGCAATTCTTGGTGATGGTTGCAACCATATTTGCGACACATAAAAATGGTTTGCGACACCTGGTTGCAACCACCTTTGTGACCACTTTGGTTTCCTTTTTTGGATTGCAACATGGAACACTAAACCCAATGAGTTAATGGAGTCATAAAGAACAAAGGTGGATACTTATGCCTGGTAATTGGATTTTATTATTTCCATTTTTAATCAACAGACCCTGTAGCATAGAAATAAGTTTATCAACATCATCACACAATGATCATTAGCCTGGTGTTGGTTAATGCATTTATTAGCATGTATAAGCATTTTCAAAATTTCCTGATGTTAAAAAGAATTGAAAAAAAAGATAAAAAATAAATAAAAAAACCCATAAGACAGGGTTGGCAAATGTGTGGTCCATTGATCTATTGGTGGTCCATTGGATCCATTAGTGTAATATTTAGTATTTTATTAATGGCAATGGACCAGTCCAAAATCTATCAGTTCTCAACGGACCAGTCAATTTGCCAACCCTGCCATAAGATTATAAACTAATAATAAAAAATCATAGGATTTGAATATTTTTGGCAATATGGCAAATTCATTTTCATGTACAAACTGTAAATGAAATTTATAAATATAGGTTTTAAATTTTTTAATATAATATGGATGCTAATCCAGATAAACGTTCAACTGCTGAAGAAGTTTTTGAGATTTTTGATTTTTGGAATGATTCATTTGAAAGAATAGATAGAATAAAGGACTCAGGATATTCAAAAGAAGAGCAGCATAAATTAATATCCATTAAAAAAGAATTTAAGAAAATGGATAAAATAAAATTTGATCCTTTGACAATTACTGCAACAATTCATCCAAATGCAGTTTATACTAGCAGATTATTAAAATTTACAAGCCTTCCCCAACCTGTGAATTCCAATAAAGTGACAATTATTGGTAGTAATAATTATGGTAATCATTAACATTCAATAATTGACTATTTTCATTTATTAATTTTAAATTTATAACATTTATTAATATCCACTCTTGTGATAAATATTTTTTAGATTCTCAACAGATTGATTTAGATATACTAGATGAATTTTAAATCCTATGTATTAAAATTATTTATTATTACATTGTTGAGAAATGAGACTATAGATAATTATTTATTTATATTTAATAGTGTGAGATAGTAAATCTTGGACCTATCAATTACCCGGTTAATATTGACCAATTAGAACGAATTTACTACGGAAGTCATGTGATGCGCTAAATATTACATCACGACCAATGACTATCTTTCTGTGGCGTCCTCAGAAATTAAAAATTTGATTTGATTAAGATTTGATTAACTAATTTGTCCTCATAAATTTGTCAATCAAAATTTATTTAATCTTAGGTTTTGATTAAGATTTATTTTACTATTAAAAATAAATCTTACCCTCCGAGTAAGATTTACCAATCGAAATTTTAAATTTTTGTGGGAAAAAAAAAACAAAAAATTTTAAAAAAAAAATAACGCATTTTTTTGCAAAGTTGGCATTATCTTTGCTTTTTTATGAAGAAAACATGGCGAAGGCTTTATTAAATGGTCATATAACCCCCAAAATTTATGTATTACATTTATTTTTAACTGCTTTACAAATCTATCAAAAAATAATCAATAGCTTCAAATTATAATCATAAAATTACCATAAAA